AAGGTCATAGTTCAATCAGCTCCTTCATATCCAATAATTTTTGTTTTAAACATTTTTTTATTTAATCGCGATGTTTCGAGTTATTTGGCTGTCTAAGTTAAAATGGGTCACTCTGTATATATATATAAAATATAGCTAAATTTTATTTAAATTTATCCTAAAATCAATAGATAAAAAACTATTCTGTGTGCATAATGTTTCTAATAGAAAGCATTGTAGTTAAACATTGAAATGTGCATCTTTTCAATTGATTTCATTATCCTAAAATAAACTAATACTTTATTTAACATTTTAATTACCATGCCATATTTAATGCCCATAAAATTTGCAGAAGTTTCATTATTTATTTGCGAGTGTCAATTCTATTCACCGGATTAAAAATAATTTTACTAAAAATTTAAGACATTAAGAAACAATATAAATTATATTTTATGATATTAAAAAGGACCATAAAATATTAAAATTAGTATATTAAGTTTATTGAGTTCAGTGCGTTAATCAGTACGTTAATGGCTTATATATCCAATAACTTGAGTCAATATTAATTGATAATACACTATTATTAAGTAAGTAATATTTGGATAGATATTATCTATGTTTTGTTATTTAATAGGAAAAAGATTATAATTCGGGGATCATGTGAATATATAGTTATAATAATTTTATTTTAAATTTTACTTGAAACTATCCTTATAGATAGTACACAATTGGATCATTCATATCCTGCTTATTATTGTTCTTTGAAATACGACTAGGAGCATCTGATTTAATAATGGCTGCATTCAACAGAGAAAACTGAGCGTTCAATGATTCATACGTTAATACGATTGGTTCCTATACTTAAATCCAGCGATCGAAGAACTAAACGCAAGAACCAATCATATAAAAAAATTGGGAGGATCCCGTTTGCCTACAATCCCGATTGCACACTTCACTCATATCAGCTGGCGTCTAGTAATTTTTTACTGCTTTACCAATGAGAATATTTTATTTTTAAATTAGCCAATTAGCGACAAATGTGTGCAATCGGAGCCGTCCCAAAAGAATTTACTGAACGCTCATTGATCAATTTTCTCTGCTGAACGCAGTCAATATAGTTCTTAATCTCAGTAAATGAGAATAGTTCGAAATGGTATAAATGATTTTCAGAAGTACGCATTTGCGAATGTTAAAATAAGTAATTTTCAGTCCCATGCATTTTTATTCGTTTATAGAAATTGTATGAAGCACATTTTTCGTACCAAAAAAATTGCAGTTTTTAGGTGCAGTATTTTGAATCTGCTTAATTCAAAATTCTAAACAGGAAATGCAGTTTTTCAATTGAATGTAAAAAAAAGTTTTACCATCTGATCGAATTTAAAAAAAAGAGTGAAAATAGACCATGAATACTACTAAAGTATTCATTCGAATGATTTAAATAAATTAAAATTTCAATTAATTAAAAATTCAAATCAATTAAATTTTTCATTTTAAAAACCATTAGCAATACAAGGCAAATGAGAGTAAGTAAAAACTTATGACAATTTCTTACATAGATGTAGTTAAGAAACTATGTTAAAATATTAAGAAATTATCACAAGTTTTTATAATTGTATCTGCGTTCCAATTACCGCGCCTTACTCTCATTTGCCTTGTATTGTTAATGTTTTTTAAAATTTGAGAGTTATTATTAAGCTTTTAATTTTCATTTTAATTCATTTTTGAATTACTAAGACAATAATGGTCTCTAAGGCATATAAAAAACTTAAGGACGTTCTCCGACTGCAGTTGTGCTCAACCTAAAGTTTACTCGCGTCCACGCAATCGCCCCTACACACAGAAAATATTAGTTGACTATCACCGTGTGCGCAGAAGTGTAAAAATGATCCTACTGCGTCACTCCGTGCGATGCGGCAACGCTGCCTTTTCGCTCTGCGCTTTGTGTTGTGTTAGTAAAGTTATGGACAGTGTCTGCCCTGCTTCGGGTATTGCATCTTATTAATTTTTTGCTGAAATTACGTGATCGCTACCCTGAGAAAGTACGAGGTTATTTGTGTTGTCACGCGTCACGTGTTGAGCGTATACGACGCGACGTTGCCAAGTCGTCAATACCTCTCGCCTTCGCTACTGCCGCCGGTCGAAAAAATAGCCGAGCTACTTACTTTGTTAAATGATTTCTTAAATATAAATACCGGAAGGCATATTCAGGAAAATTTCATATTATTCCTTGTAATATCAAGTTTTATGTCTCTTTGTTTCAAAAAATTCTAAAGAAAACTTTGTTTACAGTGAATAAAAAACCACTTTCGAATAAGCTTTAGATAGGGATTCTATGTTAAACGTTTCAACTTTGAAGTGGAATATCTCGATTTTTAATCCCGCAACGAGTACTGAGCTTCAAAGTATATATGTTCAGAACACTAAAACAAGCTTATTCTGTAAGTTTCAGAAAAATCTAAAGAAAATGGATTTTTCGGAGAACGTCCTTAAGGCAGTAAGACGTAAGCAGTAAGGAAATTAAAGGCCCGTCTACAATACACGGAATAAGAAGTAAGAGTAAGAAATTGACCAATCACAGTCGAATGTGAGAAAAATAATCGACTGTGATTGGTCAATTTCTTACTCTTACTTCTTACTCCGTGTATTGTAGACGGGCCTTAATACGTTGGATTGGCTACTGCTTACATAATAATGGCCTTACGGACTTTATTGTGATTGGTCAATTTACTTACTGCTTACGTTTTACTGCTTAAATTTTTTTGTGTGCTATGGCCCTAATAATGGTCTTTAATAATAATAATAGTTCTTTCTTTTCTTTAAAATACACAACCTTACAAATACTTCGTAAACATGCTAAAGTTTTACATTCATTTTAACATCCGCATGTATAAGAATTATTTAATTTTTACACCTTTGTAAAACCCACGGAACACAAAGTAACAGTAACATTATTAATAATTTCCCACTCAACAATATAAAACATGTCGTATAACAGTTATTACATTGTTGAGTAAGAAATTATAATATTCATGATTAATGTTACTGTTAATTAGTTTGTATTTAGAAAGTGATGAAAATTGACCCAAACACAAATGACTTATCATACATAATAAAGAGCAGAGAAGTCATTGTTAATTGTTGAATTAATCGCTGCAGAGTAATGTCCGTTTCTTCTAATTATAATTTTTAAAAATAGAAAAAGATAAGTAAGTAAATCTATATTAAAGTTAATCTACATAGGTCATAGGTGGAACTGAGCATAATGCCTGTTTCTACCAATGTAATTCAATTTTAATCTTGGTTCAGCTAAAACTTCATCTTTTTCTATTTAGAATTAGAAAAAGATGAAGAGTAAGTTGAACTAAAATAAAAGTTAATTTACGTTGGTAAAAACAGGCACAAGCCAAAATTTAATCGAAATTGTTAATTATATTTCAAAACTCTACCCGGTAAAAAATTTTTCATGTGTGAATATGTATAAATATGTATAAACATACATACATGCATAAATATTCATAAACATGTATAATTATATATTAAAAATGTCCATACATGTTCATATATCCTTCTTTCTTTTATAAAATTACTTTTTAGTGTAATATAAATAATAATAGTAATGTGAAAACATAAAAAATAGTTAAAGGGATAATTTTTGCATTGTTGGTTTTATAAAAGAACAAGTTTGGAAAAATGTAAAAAAAATTTCTCATACATAATTATGCACAATTTTATATATAATTATACATAAATAATTTTTTTACATTTCTTCAAACCTGATTTTTTCTAAAACAATAGTGCGAAAATTGCCTTTTTAATTATTTTTAATGTTTTCACATTACTATTATTATTTCTATTACATTAAAAAGTAATTTAGAAAGGAAAAAAGGATGTATGAACGTGTATGGACATATTTTATACATAATTATACATGTTTATAAATATTTATGCGTGTTTATGTATGTTTATACATATTTATCCATATTTATGCATGAAAAATTTTTTATCGGGTAAAAAAATATCCGACGCACATCGGAATGAGAGCCACTGCATCCTGGCCTGGGGATCGATTGTGCATTTTGAAATGAGATGAAAATTACAAAAGTGAACTTTTGTTAGTGATTTTTCTCACTAGAGAATATTCATAACTTAATTGGTCAATGCCTAGTAATCATTGCTGACTTTTTAATTTTCACCTCATTTCAAAATACACATCGAGCCCCTGCACCGCGAAGCATAGTAAAGTTATCCGCTCGCCATCTCTCATTCGCCGATAAGTCGCGTGTCCATGACAGCCATTCGTTCATTGGCGCGTCGCCGCCGTCGCCAGCCAATCATCGCGCGTGCGGAATGCTTCCGCGCCGCGTTACCGCCCGCGAAAGCCACTCATGATCGCGATCGCGAGGTCGCGTCCGGCGTCATCGCGACTGTCGCGACTGAGCGGACTGAGTCGAGTCCATCGAGTCGCTGGTGCTTGGCGCGGCGTTCGCGCGATCCTTGTCGAGTGATCATCTGGGATCATCCGAATAAATCGTCTCTCCTTCAGCGTTCCTCTTACATCGTATTCTCCAACGACTGTCGCGACTCGCACCTATGCGAACGTGGTGCCGCCACCGCGTTCCGCG